GCCGTCTTCACCTGGGCGGTACCACCTTTGGCCGCACCTTCCTGTGTAGCCTGATCTTCAGCTGCTCCATCAATGGTGTTCTCAAAGGAAAACTTAAGGAGATCCTCGGAAGAAATAGCAAAACGCTCTAGGTCCTTATCAGAAAAGGCGTAGTCAGATGGCATCCTAAGGAAATAATCTATATAGCCAAGCTTGTAGAAGTTAGCTTGACCTTGGGCAATGACAACCTCAAGATTGGACTTCTCACTCTTCAGCTATTTATTCTCCTCAATCAGGTTAGTACGAGCATTCTGCAACTCATCTAGTTCCTTTTTCAGGTTCTCGTTGGTAGACAACGCTCCTTACAACTCCACTTCCTTGGGCTCAAGTCTACTAACGGCCTTCTTGAGTTAAACAACATCATTATGCATGGCGAACAACTCTACATCCTTGGCATTACTGGCAATCTGAAATTCTAAAATGGCATGCTCGAGGTCCTGCACCAGCAACACTTGAACCTCAATCTCCTTCTCTGCAATGCCATATCTCCCCTGGATCACGTCAAGCTGAGCCTTCAAGTCACTAATCTTTTGGCGAGCAGTGGGGGGTAGATACATCAGATCCCTTCCAAAAGCAGCTGAGCAAGCCTATGCTATAATGGCTACCGCTATCTCTCTAGCAGCCTTAGCATTATATTGCTCTATAAAAGTGTATTCAACTGTAAAGATCACTGATTTCTGCATCATAGCAGGCAGGGAACCCTTTCGTGACTGAGCTTCGCACCTCGCGAAGAAACTGGAGTCGACAACCTTGCTCACGCTATCAATAAACTTAATGTATGCTTCCGTGTCCTCAAGCAGATCGGGCTTCAACAGCACATGGATCTCGGAAAACTCCTCTAAGGCTGGTTTGGCAGGCTAACCACTGCTCTTCATGCGAGCAAACGTTTCCTTCTTAACATAAGAGGCTGACCCTGGCACCGCCTCGGTATCACTATCCTCGTTCTTCGCCGCTGTATGTGCCTCCAGAATCGGATCGAACTTATGCATGGAAGGTTGTCTCTAAACAAAACCAAGCATAGAGGGCACATCAGAACTCCTTCGATGCACAATTCTAGCAACCCTTGGAAAAGCAGGCTTCGCAAGCTCAGATCCAGTAGCCTTTTTCTTCCCCTCGAAAGAAGTCAAGTCAATCACAAGCTTCCCAGCAGTGAATAAACCCTTGCGAGCAACAGAAGAAGTCTTTATTTTTTCTCCACCGAAGACTCTCGAGTAGGTGATGAAGATCTCTTTCTCTCGCATTCACTTGCAATGGGCTCCACATTGACGATCAGATGAGCAAATGTCTCACCCTTGATCTTCCTAATCTCTTCTTGCAGAGGTAGCCCACCTTTCTCCCTACGAATAGGACTGAGCACTCAACGCCATTCACGGTATTCAACAAGGATCCCCTAAGCGATGTGCACATTCTTCATGTTTGGAGAAGTCTTGGGAGTTGAACCAAATTCTGAATCTACATAAACAGATAAGGAAAAATATGAAGGCAGCTCAACAAAAGTATAAAGCAGCTTAGAGACTAATCAACCTACTTACCATCGATGAAGGCAGTCGGAACGCCAAGCCTAGGTGATAAGTCAGATTCTCACTCTCCGCTAATCTCAAGAGTCTCCATAGACCAATCATGATCCATTTTGCTCGAGTGATCGAAGAGCCTATGGCAGGTCCTCAGCTACCCAACACCATTGATGTGACCCATGTCAAAGAAGTACCAAAAGTCGTTAGCAGTCAGGTCCAAGTCAAAGAACATGGTTAAGTTGTGGAACCCCACCATCACACGAACCACGTTCGAAGAGCACTGAGCATGAGCGCACCTCTGAGCAAATCACCTCTTGCAAGAACCGAGGCATGGGAAAGGTGAACCCCAACACAAAGTAGTAGGGGTGAAACTTGATAGTTTTCCTAGATCCACACAATTCACAACTGCTACTATCCTTGACTCGCTTCATGGGAACCCCACAAGGAATTGCGTGCTTAAACATCATAAGGAAGTCCCTGAACTAATCATCAAAACCTTACTTCACATGGGCAGCCCTAAAGTAGCCTAGCTTACTTGCAAATCCGCCATGATGAGACAACGGTGGAATAAATTCATCATTCTTGTGGCTCGAGGAAGACATGTTCGAAAGAATCTTACAACATCACAAGGAAAAATTGTTAGGAGGCTGCTTGAAAAAAAAAAAAAAATTTCGCAAAACCTAGTGCCTCACGCCAGGCCCTACGGCCCAACCCACGCGTCCAGCAAGGAGCCCAGCCCGTGCTGGCTCCCCCATCTCTTTCTTTGCCCAATGGCCTTACGGCTTAAGTTAAACAGAGGAGGGGCAAGCGCCCCCGGGCCTCTTCTCTTTCTCACACCTCCCACATTACATGGGCTCGAGTCCAGCAACCCAAAAACCCAATCCACGCGCCCCTGCACTGACCCTATCGGCCTCGCCAAGCCGTACCTAGCTTCAAGCTGCCACGATAGCAGCCCCGTGGCAGCCATTTCCCTTTTTTGCCACATCCTCGACCCCTGTCGAGCCAAATATTCAAGCCCTGAGGCTTCGAAAAATCAGGAAGAAAGAGAAAATTAAAATTTTCCTAACTTGGAAAAGAAGAAAAGCAACGGAACACAATTCTTTGCACATGCAAGCGAAGAGGATTGCTAAGGGAGGGGGAACAAATATCCTCTGGCTTTCTCTCTTTCTTGCGGGGTTTTTAATTGCACTCCAAATTTATTTAATCCCCTGCTTGACGCAAACTTAAATAGGTTTTGGTTGTAATTAGTTTCCCTTTCCTAAAAGAATTTAAATTCCAAATGGAAGAGAAAATCTACATCAAATTGGGATACAAACTCCACTGCAACTTTGGATTCCTACACATCCTGCCCTTCTCTGCGAGCAGCCAAGAGAGTGTGGGGGTATTTGTGGAGCCAAAAATAATCCCAAAAATCATAGAGTTGACATGTGGATTATTTCCCAAGAAAAACAAGACTACCCCTATTAAATGAGCAGGGAGCAGCCTTATTCACCACGCGCAGCTAAGGTAGAGCAGGCAGAGATCAACCATTACTCAAGACATCCTTTATTCTTATCATAAATACATTCCTAGTAAAAAAAAAAAAAAACCTCTTTCAAATAAGTAATCTTAATCCCATTTATTTAGGATATTTACATATTTATTCTAAGATATTTATTTACACAAATATCTTAGAATATTCCACTCAAAATACCACCTAGGGCCGGCCACACCTAAACCCTAAAGGGTCGGCCCATCTCCTCCTCCTCTCCTATAAATACACCCTTTATCTCCAAAATTCGATAAGCTTTAGCTATCACTAAAAAGGTTTTTTGCTTCCCACAAACACTCAAACACATTCTTTACAAAATTCTAACTTTGGCATCAGAGATTCTTCAGCCAAAGCCGCCCCCATTCATCGTGGGCGCATGAGGCTTTTAGCCTTAATCTTATGTGTTATTATTTTGCAGGTGCAGATTCGTTAATCAAGGAAAGGCGGAAACTGACATCTACATGTTATTTTCGTGTCTTTTACGTGTCGTTTTAACGGGTTGTGTAAAAAATTGCAAGATCTGGTTTTATATAATTAAATACTCAAAAAAAAAATGGAAGAAAATAAGAAGATGAACTATTCATCTTCTTGTTTGCCTCCCATCGGAGCAACCACTACAGGACCCACCCCACCCCATTGCACAGGTAACCGCAGCCCATCAGATCCAGAAACACACAAAGACCACTTGAATTTGGTAAAATAACGTCTCCAGGTGATGAACAAAAAAATAAATGTCTCCAGGTAAAAGATTCATTTTGCATAACACATTTATAATATGTATCATTCTAATTCACTTATTACTTAACCACTAAATAATTACCCCCTAATTATTCTCCTTGTGCCTGCTAATTTACGTTGAAGACCAATTTCTCCTTCTCTAATCCTCCTTCATAGAACCCAGATTTCAATTTTCCAAATTCGGTTTGAAATTTGGAAAGACATGGATGACAATCCCAATCCGACAAGACCGCCACCACCGCCCAAAGAGTCGCCCATTTCGTTGTACATAAAGGTGTTATCGAGCGCGCTCGGCGGCACAATGGAGGTTGCATGTCTTCAACCCGTCGACGTCATCAATACCCAGTTCCGGCTCAACCAGACGGGCACCTACAAGGGAATTGTCCACTGCGTTTACATGTGCGACGGGATGGGGTGGGGCTGTAGTGATTGTGCCGCCTATTGGACGTTTCAAGCTGAACGTTGATGGGTCTTGGAATGCACATGGTAATGTAGGGAGTTTTGGAATGATTCTTAGGGGAGATGCGGGAAACTTCACTGCAGAAAAATGTGGGTGGTTCGAACATATCTTTTCACCTCTCCTGGCAAACGCAATGGCAATTCGGGAAGGCTTGGTTTGGGCGATTACGAGGGGTTTTTAAAATTTACATTGTGAGACCGATTCACTCCAGATTGTTGAAGCAGCGAGGAACCCCTCCATTGATTTCTCCAGGATCGTCATGGTCTGTCTTTGAGTCAAGTTACTGAATAAGATCATCCCCTAAGCTTGATTTTGGATCTGTTTGTGGAGGAATCGGTTTGGCCTTGAATGGTTTTTTGTAATGGATCCTGTGACAACTTCAATCAATGAATCTATTATCTATCTTTTTTAAAAATAAAAAATAAAAAATCTTCTTATTTTTTTTCTTTTTTTCTTTTTAAGTTTTTAATTATATAAAACTAAAAATTATTTTTTATTATTTAAACATTTTTAATCCACATGATAATATATAATTAGACTTATAGAATTCAGTTATATGTCACATCAGCACATAACAAAAGTTTTGATTAAATTGAGCAGGATGATAACATTGATTTGAGACACTCATTTTTAAGAACTACATTAATTGATTTTCAATTTTGAAGATCATTTTTATAAAGTGAATCAATTTCAAAGCCAAAAAAAAAACAGATTAAATTCGAATAGTAAATACACCAAAGCCCGTGATGGTGAGCGAAAATGCTCTCATTCTCCGTTTCGTTTGCCACCTCCATCTACGTGGCGCCCCTCTTTATAAACCAGCTCCGACGGGTAGCACCTTCAATTTTCAAATCTTCCAGATCGAAATTCAAAGAGTATACAGAAAGCAAGAAAGAGCGAAGTAAACCCATCTCCGAATCCCAAATCTCCAAGCCCCGTGAATTCAAAATTCACCATTTCTAGGGTTTCAATTGCACTCGGAGTGATTACCAGTACCTTCCTTTCACCCTCCGATGAAACATTAGCGGAAGAAAAATCAGATTTTTTGTTGCTATGATTTCTAGGGTTTTGGCGAGTCTAGGTTTTTCCAAGATCGATAAGAAAGAATGAGAAAGAATGAATCTTCCGCAAGAGATCGATGACTATATTAAAGAATCGATCGACCAGTCCTTGGGCCTCCCTGTGATATGATCTGTAATCAGTGATTAGCTTAATTACTATTAAGGGTTTTATTATTGGGATTATTAGGCTTATTCATACTTTAGCGGAGTTTGTTATAATTAGCGAGCTGGCATGATGAGTCATGACTTGTATAAGAGCACTAGCTCTTAGTATTGTAAGGCAGAACAGAATTTACAAGAAAGAAATTAATTACAAAAATATTTGGAGCTCTGCTCCTTCATCTTCCTTCCCTCTTCCTCTCTATCCTCTGTGTTACTTGCAGGTTGATTAAGGGCTTAGAGATTTGGATCTTATCACCCTGTGTCGACGCATGCCCTCGAAGTGAAGCTTCGATGCTCCGAAGTAGCAAAACGGCGGCTTCAGAATCAGTACTCGCTTCTTCTCTCGAAATTGAAGGAGAAAGAGCAAGTCCTGGAGCGCGCTAAGGATCGTGATTTTACATATTCATAATTGTATAGATACACACACACATACATATTTTGGATTTTTGGGTTTTGAATGTTTTGTAAAATAGGCCGAAGTGAGTATGAATGAACAAGCTTTGAGGAAGTTCGTTGAGGAGAATCAGAGATTGACGTCGGAGTGTGCGCATCTTGTGACTCGGTGCAACAAATGGGAGAGGGAGTGCTCGCTCTACGATCATGACCGAGAGGATCTGATGGATTTTGGGAAGGAGGCTGATCAGCGTGCTAAGGAGGCCAAGATTCGTGTTCTGGAGGACGAAGTCAGAGAGTTGAGGGATGAATTGGCGTTATTTAAGTACAAAAAGGAGATGCATTCGGTAATTTCTTCAACCTTTTGTTTTTTCTTTTTTGCACCGTGAACAGGTTTTGATGAATTTAAAAAAATGAACTTGGACAACGGGTCAAAATTTACTATGGTGGGTTTGTGAGACTAGCATGTTCATGTGTTTATACTGTGAATTGCTTGTTTTTCTTTCACTGTGTAATGTTTTCACGGAATGCTATTATGTTTTACCTGAATCTTATTGCAGCTTCATGAAATTTCCTTTGTGCTTGGTCTATGCTTTCCAGAATGTTATTGCAGCTTCATTTATGCTTTTACAAAATTCATTGTTGATTTAGATGCTGTAAACAAGTTGTTATTCCTGGTTTCAATATTTTCCAGCTTTGTGCAAACATCACATACATGTGCACACAATCACAGACAAATATTTAGAATAAAACTTGTGCCCTTTTTTTGAGTTTTACATTTTCCGGTTTCTTTGAAGCACTTGGCAGAACAAGTATATAAATTACTTATATGCAATTTTGTTCTGATGTTGAGCCATCGCTTAAATTTTTTCTCAACATGGTAGCTTGAAGCTGTGGTGTCAAAAAGTTCTATCACTAGTTGCTGTGGTAAAGGCACTTGAGAAGGATAAGGAACATCTTAGGATCAATCTTCATATGGCCGAAGAGGAGGTAAGGAGTGCAGAATATTTTCAACTTCAGCTTGTTTTCCTTATGTCTTCTCGCTCAGTTTTCCCTCGAAAACTCTATTGTACAAATGATATCCCATACTTGTGATGTATATATGTCAAAATATCATAGAATGAGATCCCATATATCTCGTATGCAGGTCAAATTGATTTTTGAAGAAAACAAAGTCCTAGATGTGGAGAACAAAAGATTACTGAGGCTGTACCAGAAGGAAAGAAACCATTCTGCTTCTGGTGGAAAACATACTGACAGTGCATCAGCGAAGATGGGACAAAGGGAAAATAACAGCTTTGACTCGTTTATACTTTGTGTTGGTCTGCTCTAAGCCTCTAACATATGTATTGTTTCTCCGTTGCAGTCAAATATGCACAAATCAAGCTCTAAGACAAGCAGCCCGATTCAAGGGAAGATTGATTTCAGTGAGCAAGAAGCAGCAAGACAGCCCCTATCACCCTTGCGCTGTAACTCCCCTAACTCTAGAATCTATAAGAAGTGGTAAGCCTTTCGAACAATCCCATTTGTACCTTGTGTGTTCGGGATGCCTTATGATTGATTGGGGTTAAGATCACAGAAAGAGTTTGGAATGACTAACAAGTTTGATTGTAAGAATCGTTTGCTAAGTCTTTTAGTAAATGGTTGGGCGTTTTTCTGTTCAAGGGCCATGCCAAGTGCTCGTCTTTACAGCTTCGGTAACTTCTAGGAATGCAGCAGTTAATTGCAGTTGTGAAATTGTTTGCGTTTATGATGAATTTCTCTGATCATGTTCTCATATATTACTATTGCCTATTAGTTTTAAAAATCTGTTCACAAAAGGCATATACTTTGACAATGCTCTCAACCCGTTCATGAAATTGATCTGATAGGTAAAAGTTACTAACCCACAAAACTAAAGCGATGAAACTAATAGATAGTGAAGTTAACATTTCAGTTCTTCAGTTCACCATCAAAAGGATTTCCAAAACCTCTTCAGAACCAGGAACCAGGAGATACATCGTCCAGCTTGTTGCTCTGCGTCGGAGTCAAATCTATTTGCCTAATGAGTGCTTCCACTTCTTCCTCATATACTACACACAAACTACACCTCTGCACTTCCACATCTTCCTCATATCTGTTTGCTTAATTGTTGCTAAACGCTTTTTGGCTAGAAAGCAATGTATTAAAAGCGTGAGGCGTGGGCGAGGCGTCCGAGGCGAAGCCTAGCCTAGGCGTGAGGCGTGAGGCGTGAGGCGAAGCCTTACAGGATTTATTTTATATATATATATATGTTTTCTACTAGAAAGCTGTAGAGCTTCATCTTCACCAAGTTTGTCAACGTCAAACCTTGCGCCTCCACAACATGTTGGATCAACAAAGGTCTGATAATTCATGATTTTTCATCCATATCCCATCGTCCGCTTACAATTAATTACAGGGATGTCAACTCACGTTAACACCGTCTCTTAAGTTATGTATACATGTACTCCAGCGGCATACTTATCATGTAAAACACTTGACTCGTCATCTATCATATAAATCAGGTGTGCTGGAGTTTTCTTCTTTTTTGGACACTGTTTTGCCCAATGACCTTGTTTTCCACATAAGAAACATTTATTGGATTTAGGAAGAGGATTTCTTCTTCCAAGGCTTGCCTTTCTTTTTTGAAAATCAGCAGGAGTTTGCTGCTGTGCATCCAAACTTCTGTAAATCATTCCTGCAAAATTTTGCAAGTGTGGTATATGTCCAAAAGCTTTCATGATTTGCCTTAATTGCTGAGATTGACAATGCTCCTTGAGTAAGGCTTCTGCTTTCTGGTACAAACTTGCCAGACTGCAAGTAGTTAAGTCTTGAATCCAAACTCCTGTAAATCATTCCTGCAAAATTTTGCAAGTGTGGTATATGTCCAAAAGCTTTCATGATTTGCCTTAATTGCTGAGATTGACAATGCTCCTTGAGTAAGGCTTCTGCTTTCTGGTACAAACTTGCCAGACTGCAAGTAGTTAAGTCTTGAATTCCTTTATCTTGTAACTTCTTTTCAAGCATCTCCATGCTAGGTGCTGACATATTCAGAATGAAAGTCCTTTGGATTACATCTGTGTTTTTTGTTGAAGCTAAAGAATAAATGTTCTTGTTTAAGATAGTAATCCTTTAGCCTAAGGATGTATGGATTCTCGAGAAAAGAGAAGCCATGGTGGTCCCTCCCGGACCACCTAGATCCCACAAGTGAATAGAAAGTTGGATCTACATTGGATCTCACATGAATTGCCCCATCTATCCTCCTAAGTAGAAGTTGGTTTTAAACCCCAATTAGAACAGGAGAAGTACGTCATGCTAATGTGCCTTGGATGATCCATATTTCAGGGTCAGGCGCTGATGAGCACATTGAACTATTCTTGTGGCTAAGAGCCCTCACAGCCTAGGCACAACGACGCAACTATCAAGGGTGCGCTCTACCACTGAGCTAATAGTCCGCCGTGTAGGCCTCCCGTTGGAGGCCCGCTATGCCAAAAGCAAGAGAAACCCCATCCCTCTCTTTCATTTTTTACGCCCCCACATCGCCACACGAGAGGGACATGGGGACGTAAAAAATGGGATCCTATCAACTTGTTCCGACCTAGGATAATAAGCTCATAAGCTTAGTTTTACTTCACCATTGAGAAACGAAAGAAGACTTCCATCTCCAAGTTTAACTCAGACGTAGCTCACTTCTTTTTAGGTGTAAAGCAATGTCAAACCAAAATACCCAACAAACATTAGCTCTACCTGAAAATGAGGTGATCCAGCCGCACCTTCCAGTACGGCTACCGTATTACGACTTCACTTCAATCACTAGCCTTACCTTCGACATCCCCCCCTTTGCGGTTAAGGTAACGACTTCGAGTATGGCCAACTCCTATAGTGTGATGGGCGGTGAATACAAGGCTTGGGAACAAATTCACCACCGTATGGCTAACCGGCGATTACTAGCTATTCCAGCTTCATGTAGACGAGTTGCAACCTACAATCTGAACTGAGGACAAGTTTTTGGAGTTAGCTCACCCTCGCAAGATCACGACCCTTTTGTCCCTGCCATTGTAACACATGTGTCGCCCAGGGCATAAAGTGCATGATGACTTGACGTGATCGTCACCTTCCTCATAGTACTTTTTTTTAATGAACTTTTCTACACGTTCCACTTCTATTTCTTAGATACCTACAAACTCTTTAGAGACAAGAGTAAGTAGGAATGACACCGATTGTGGTGTGTTTAGAAAAGCATGTCTAGTATTTTCTCCCAAACATATCAACAATTTGCGAAGTGATCCAATGCAAGTTGTAGCTAATCTTTCTGCCCCACCTTTGAAATACAAAGTAGGGTTTATTAGAGCTTCTCTTTCTGCCCAGACAGCCATTTTCTCTAGGTAGGCCGTCCTTTCTTCTGGATCTATAGGATCGATATTCCAGAAGTTCGTGTGATAGAGGAAAAGTATGTAGAAGAAATGAAGAATGAAAAAGAGTGAAGGAAAAATTTGTGAAAGGCATGTCAAATGAATCTATAAGGGAAAAGTATGCAGGAGAAATGAAGAATGAAAAAAAAGTAAAGGAAAAAATTGTGAAAGGTATGTCAAATGAATCTGTATATAAAAAATAGTTATCAAATAAGAATCTAGATCCTCGCCGAATTCTCATTGTGAGGATCCGAAGATCCGTCCATCGTGTCTATTCATTATACATTGTGCGGTTAGAAATCATTTTAAATATCTTTATTTAAAATAAAACATAAACATTGTTGAGGAAAAATTAGAGTACGCAACTCTAATATAAGTGTTGGAGAGACAAAACAAGTAAACAAATTACTTGTATTACACTCACAAAATATTACAACACACAAACCCTTAAGGACACTCTTAGAAGCTATGACACTCACTCTTTCTAGAGGCACACTCTAGACCACTCACACTCTTCACAAGACTACTCACTTACAAGGTTTCTCACTCTCTTACTTAGCTCTCTCTTCTTGGCTACTTGCTTGATTACTTTGGTTTCTTCTTGTTTGATTAATATCTTACTGCATCACATCCATATTTATAGGGCATGCTTGCCGACTTATACTATCACTAGAATTTTCTAGTGCATTGATCATGCACGCTTTTCCACCGTTTTTGCTAAACCGACTTACCTATTAGGTGAGATTGGACTCTTCCAAATATGGCCAAAGTTTGTGATGTTTCTAGATTCTACTACAAACAAAAACATTTTCTAAATTTTCTTAGCCTAAGGCGGTGGACTTAGGCTTTTCCAACTTGCTACCTTTGTTGTTGCATTTTGCTAGAGTTTTCTAGCATATTCCCGTTATAGAATCTTCTAGAAAAAACCATGCATGTTTGAACTAGACCAATCTAGTTCCTTTGTACTGACTGATCTTAATGGGCTGGTGTTCATCTTTAACACTCCCCCTCAACACTAGCTCATTCTTTTTTTCTCACTGAGTCGACGCTTTATCTTGAACACCCATTTGCATGATATGGGTTTCACATCTCTTAGCCTTGCCATTGGATCCCAAGTTCAATATTTCTTTAACACAACGACCTCTTCTCCTAGCTTTACGCCACTTAGAATTCTGTGATGCTTATTTATGCATCTCAGCTTCAACTGCTTCTTCTACTATGGTTGCGTTGGCGTATTTGGGATTTGGCTTTGGTATTCCCGTTGACCTCCTTAATTGTGATCATGGAAATGATACTTCCACTTCATCAGGTCTAACTTCTCCTGGTAGTTGATACACACCCGCTTACCAAGGACTCTTAGGTACTTCTTGCTCGACATCGTCACCATCAAGCAATTCCTCGAGCTCATCTAGACTCGATTAGACTAGGGCAACTTGGTCTCCCATTTTCTCTTGCAATGTATCTTCAATCTCTTTTGAGTCGGGCAACGCCTCATTTTCTGAGCACCAACAAGATGATGCTTATGCGTCCTATTCTTCCTCTATAGCTAGAGACGATACGGCGTCCCAATCATCTTCACTTTCTCATTTGAGTTGACGACATTACTCTCTGCGAGCTTTTTGAACCAGCCATCCTTCGCCATGTGGCCCTTCTTTTTACAATTGTAACATTTTCCCTTAAATCTTTTATTGTTCTGAGATTGACCACAGTTGCCATGATACTTCGGAGCTCCCCCTAGCCGAAAACTTCGTCTTTCTTTATGACATTTTTCCTTGTCACCACTTCTTTTAGATCCACCACCAACATGCTGCTTAAAGTTGCCTTTACTTTTGGTGTAGAGCGCTTCATCCTCACCTCTTAACGAGACCCCTCCCATTTGCTTTGCCAAAGCTTCTTGATCAGCAAGCAAATTTTCAAACTCAACAAGTGATGGTTAGGTCGACCATCCTTGTACAGCGGCAACGAAGCCTTGATATTCGGGTCTCAATCCATGGCCTATTATTCTTTTTATCCTAGATTCTACAATGGTAGCACTAGGATCTAACTCAAAATTTTCACGGCAAATAGACTTTACTTTATGGAAATATTGGGCAAACGTCATGTCCTTTTGGGCCACTGATAATAGCTCATTCTTGAGAAGCTGCAGTCTTGTATCATTCCTCTTTGAAAAGAGTATGGCAAAATGTCCCACACTTTTTTTGGTGTCCTAGCGTTACGTATGTGCTCCAACATGTCATCTTCAACTGTAGTTT